TCCACTGTCTGTTTATTTACTATGTAGTTCATCAGTTTGCTGAATGCTATGCAAGTGGTGTTAGGGGAGACAATGCTGAAGGTCCTGCCAAACTTGAGAGAAATGAAGTCCATTGTTCTCCCCCAATATGGTAGGCCTGTCACCTCGTCATTGAAGTTGATCAGTTTAGCCAAGCATGTAATAACTGCAGTGTAGATGTTGCTGGCTTGCTAGGAGAGAGCTGAATAATAATATAATATAATAATATAATAATATATAATATAATAATAAGAGGAATAATTCATTTAATGATGTCTGACTTCCTGATCCCAAAATGTTCCTGAGCAGGCTATGCAGAGGTTCCTCATGTCGTTTTGTGTGTCCCCTGCAGTGTATTACACATCCTGAGACTGGAGACACTTTGGTTTGCATGCCATTCACTTGGTTTATTGTAATCTAATGTTCAAAATTTAGCCAATCTGACTGGTCATTTATTCATGTAACATGCTTTGGTTCCCTCATTAATTCTTAGAATGAAGTTTCAAGTACATCTTGAAAGTCAAAATTGGCTTTCAGCAAGTATTGATATGCTGTGAAAAATCATTGTATTTCATGTGCGTCACTACTTTTTTTACAGGAAAATTTGGGGAAACTCAGACATGTACTGAAGACATTAAGTTAAAGTGAGAGCTAACGATATCCAAAAAAATACTGGCATTTTAATGGAGGACAATTAAGAAAAATACTTGTTTTTCTGTTCTTACAGTCAAATTTGTCAAGATATTGTGTAAATCCTGGGGGCACTCTAATAGCCTTTCATGTTTATTCCATTAATGAATTCTTATCTCCTGGGTTCCTGGTGGAAGAAGACCCTGGAAACAGAAAATAACTAGTGAACCCCAGTCTCATGAGCTGCCCTGCCTTGTTCCTGTCTAGTGGGCCTTGCTGGAGTGGGCAGAAAAGCCGGATTTAAAGACAGGATTAAAGCTACAGCTGTTCTTGCTTTTCCAACCTTTTCTTGAAATGAATATCAAATTCTTTAGGCTGAATTAGACAGGGAGGAGTAGAACACATCTTCTGCATCTCCTTTAATTCTTGATATCTTTGCAGCAGCTGTCAGCTTTAGTTTGTTCATTGATCATTCAGTTGAGCAAGAGCAGGAAGATGAAGGACCGTTCACCCCTTGATGCTGTTAACAAGCCTGTCAGGCTTTGACAACTTAAATGAGAGACATTTCATAAAATTATGAGTGAAATTTTAAATGTCTCGTTGAGGCATACCACAAAATCCATTGCTGTCAAATGAGCACTTGCAGTAAGTTGGGTTTTTTCCCTGACTCAGCACTCTGCTCACGTCAGACCCATCAGGATTTTGGAAACATCTCCTTTTTACAGAGGGCATGCTCAGAAACATTAACACAAGCATTAACACTCAATTTATCTGCTGACATTACTGTTGCACATCAGTACTGTCATTTATGTGCATGCAGCAGAAGGGCAGGATAGTTTAATGAAGACTCTAAAATGGACTAAGCTTCTCTGTTCCCTTATCAAATACCTCTACCTGATTTAAACTGACAGTTTTTCACAACCAATTCAATGTACTTTTTCTCCCCTGCCATTGCCTGAGTGGTCCACATGGTTTTAAGGTGATGCTTTAGTCCCACAAGAAGAAATATGTGTGGTTTTTAATGACCTTTACTGAAACCGTATCCTGACTGCACACATATCACAAAGGGTATCTATTTGGCCCTTGGCCAAGCAAAAGCCCTGTGAAGTGGCTGGAGCCACCAGGGCACTTAAGAATAGCTGTGGCCCAGATCTGTGGCACAGTAGCTGCACAAGCCCTAAATCTTCTATGCCTGAGGAAGCCTACCACCCAAAGGGCCAGACGTTTGTCTGTCTGCTTTTTGCTGGACAGATATGTCCCAGCAGCCTCCATGACAGGCTTTATTCCCAAATTTTGCTCTTCAAGGTACAGCAAAGTAGGGTAGTTTCTTTCCTTACAGGTTTCAGCTAAGGTGAGCATAAGCAGCCTTTGCTCAGTTGACTGTAAACCCCATTTGAACAGAAAATTTTGTTTCACAAAGTCCAACATGTGTGGTACCAGAAGAATCTATTATATTACATGAATAACAGTTATTGTAAGCTTGCTTTAAACAGAATGGGATATCTTCTTTTTGAGCTAGTAGCCAAAACCAGAAGCAACAATACAATTTATAGCTAACTAGGTAATCCATCAGCACTTAGTCTCCAGCTTGAAAAAATATTTTGAGTACCAGCTTAACTTGAAGTATATGGATATATGCATTTATTTCAATAGGGCAAACACATATGCCTAGACCTATGTGTGACTGCAGCTATGTAAGATTAAATGCATCACTGAAAGAGAGTCCTTAGAAAAACCCCTAAATTTTAGCTGAATGAATTTGTCCAGGGATAAATATAAGACCAGCTCCACCCTGGCTCTGTTTCTTTTTTAGTGTAGTTAACGTAAGCAAGATCCCATTATTCTGCAATATTGATGGCACACCTTCATGCATAGGAGAGAACACATTCCCAGCATACTATAAAATTTAAAATTGATCTTTTTCACTGCTGGCATGTTTGGTTTTTTAACCCAGTTTTACTCCCCAGAATCTTCTAGAAACAATAACACTGATCCTGTGTGTTCACATGATATGAAGAAGGGCAACTTACATTATTGCCAATTTTCCTTGTTTTTCTCTGCTGCCCTTCATTCCCTGCACTTTTTTCCTTGCTCAGAAGTGAATATACTTTCTGTCAGACTTTCAGCATATTTTCCTGTCACACATTCTCCTGCTTTGAGCTCTTTTGTTCTAATACTCTTGACATTTAAGCTGGGCACTTTAAAGGTTCTTTCTCTTTACTTTATTCTATGATTTATTGATTACTTCCAGCTTTTGTTTCCCTAAGCCTATTTCCTTTCAAGTTTTCTCACCCTTCCAGCTTGTTATTTCATCCCTTGGTACAAATAATGCCTCACAGTCCTAGTTTTAAAGCCAGAACCACGGCACAGTTTTTTCTCCCATTAGCTTGGCATAGCAGCATTTTTTTTACACACAGAGGCCCAAAGACATTGTAAATGATTACAGAGGTCATTGTTACTGATGAATGTGTCACGGCCACACATTTACAAAGGGCCTGCTGAGCTGCACTGTCTTTTGCAAGTGGCTCCTGAAGAAGTCATAGGCACTACTCACAGATCAAGGGACTGCTCTGTGTGGGAAAGTGACATTCTGCACCTTGACAAAAGTTGGCATTTTACAGGGAGAAGCCCCTTCCCAAAGCCTGGGCACTGCTGGCTGTGTGAGTCTGACTGAAAACCAGAACAGCAGGAGATGCTGGATTAGGGGGTTTGCCAGCAGTTAAGGATTATTGCACCTACATATTGTGGTGCACATTCTGTGCTAATTGCCACGTGGTGGGAGCCATGCAGTTGGTGACAGAGTGTGGCTGTGAGTGTGTGCTCCCATCCGCATTTCTGCAAGGCACGGGTTTGTTCTGGTGTTGCTCCTATAAAAGGAGGCTTCCATTCACCAGAAATACCAGTTCTAGCATAAGAAACCCAGCAGGAGCTGTATTAGGCGTGCGTCTCAGTGTGAGCCTTGGACTGAAGTTACCTAATTGGCTGCATCCCCATTCCCTGCCATGACGTTGGCATAATATTTGGGGCTGTCTTGGCATCTTCCAGTGACTCAAGCTATACAAATAGTTTTGGAATCATCAGATGGGAGAGCCGAGAATGAAGCAACGCATTACTACCTATGCAAGGCTTTGAACAGCCTTCCTCCTCCGTTTCCTACTCTGTTATGGCAAAGGACAGGAAAGGACCCTTGTCTTTTTCATGTCTGTGTTCCCGTCTCGGACTGAGTGTCTCGGACACACTGAGCCCTTTAATTTCCCCTCAGTGCCCAAAGTAGTGCAGTGATTTGCTGCTGTACATATGCAATAGGAAAGCACAGTAATTCACCTGGATCCAACTAGGAATTTGCATATTAGGCATTAAGGGGTGGATTGCCCAGGGTGACAGCCAGATTCTGCGCAGTAGAGTGCTGTGTTCAGAGGGACACTTTTGCCCATTTCCAACTCAGATACAAAGCAAAGCAGACTGTAACCAACACTCACATATAAAGCGAACTCCAGTCAATTAGCTAGTGATTTTTCTGTCAAACAGGATTCTGTGCAAATGAAGAGATATCAAAGATGCAGAAATTGATTGAACTCAGCTGAACATGTACCTCCTGCTTGGGTTCTAAAGTAAATAAAGACCTTTTGCAAGAAAAAAAAAAAAAGGAGCATTGTTTTTTACATTTTACTGTTTCAATAGAGATGAAAAATTAAATTGCCAGTAAAATTTCATGAGAAAGGAAATTCTTGTTAGAAATTTTATCTCAGAGTACTGATTTTGCTACTGTGAAGAAAATTTCCCTCTAAAAGTTAATAAATAAAAGCAAACAAGGATAGACTTTTAATTCCTTTCATTTAAAATCTTCTAACATATGCAGTATTAGATTATATTTTAAAAGGAAGATATAACTTGCTGGTTTTCCTACATTTAAATGAAAGTTAGAAAAATTTAAATGGTGCAAAGTTGGTCTAAGGTAAGTGAACACAACTCCTTATTAATCTGTGAATAAAGATGACTGAATCCTTGGCCTCTTGTTTGTCTGTCAGAATGCACATACCAGCAGGATGTTACCCTGGTTCACTTTACATACAGCACACCAAAGGGGTATGTTGTCCTACAGGCTTAAAATGTGTTTTACTTTATGCTAAAAATTCAGGCCAAATGATACAGCCAAGACTGAGAGATTAATAAATTGTAATAACAGTGCTTTTATTGACACTGGAAAATTGGAAGTTATGTTTCTGATAAGAAAATGGATTTTACCGAAACCAACTATTAGTACGAAATACTTACGTTGTGATTTTGTACATTTGTATGCATGCAACCATATAAGCACTTATATATTATACATGTACTTGCCTTTCCTTTAGGCAACCACCAGTGACATTTTCCAAGGAATAAGAAGCTGAATGAGCAACTAAGACAAAGCTGTGTTTCTGGTTTTTTGTTTTTTTCTTTTCGGCAGTGGAAATAATTTTAATCAGCTATGTGGCTAGAAATCTTTGGAGAAGGCCTTCAGCAAGTTCCCATTAATTTTCTCATTTAAGAATTTCTTAAAGTACAGAAGAAAAATAGTCAAGATATTTCAAGATAACATATTTTTCTTGTAAAGGAGGAATTTTAGATTTTTTTATAGAAGCTGTTGGTTTGTTTCTTCTGGGTTGCCTGGAGAATTGCCTCAAAACAACCAGAGCTATGTTCCCCTTCCTTAGGGCTTTAACATGGTCCATGGGAGCCCAGTGCTCTGCCAGCTCCAGAGGAACAGGACAAGTGAGGGATTATGGGTTGGAACCCCATGTGTTAGAGTGGTGCTCTTACATGGGTTTTAATGATGTTATCCTCAGATGAATTGGAGTGAGGCAACCTCAGGAGCTGACAAGCACAAATAAATCTCCAAATGAATGACCTGCTAGTTTGTGTGTCTCCTCATTTCCTATTTAATTTTGTTTTGGGAGTGGCTACTGTTTCGTGCTGTTGTGGCTTTGTTTTCTAATCTCACAGATGTCTGCCAGCTGCTGGATACTCAGAAGAAGACAGTCACTTGGGCTCTTTCCCGTAAGCCATGTCCCTGAGTAAGTTCTCACACACAGAAAAGAAATTCAGGGCAACAAAGAGATATCAGTGAAAAGGTTCTTTTTAGAGTAAAAATTTGGTGGAGATTAAAATAGGGCAAAAGTTCAAATGAGAACGAGCCACTGCCAAGCAAGCAAGAATCTTGGCAAAAAAGAAGGAAAAGAAACATTGGTTTAAAAGGCAAGTAACCATGGCGAGGCAACAGCTCAATGCTAGAATCTGGTTAAGAACTAATATCACACAGAGCTCTGATTGTTTATTCAAGGCTAACCCATGGGAGAACAGTTGTCTCCAATGAGTGTTCTCACAGCTTGGATCCAAAATTATAACTGCATTTTTTTAAGCATCCAGCACTTCAACACTACCCATTTACTGTTAGACAAAAGAAAAAGAAAGTACGAAGTTTTTTCTTCGTGTCCCTTGTGTGTTTAAGGCAGAGCTTTACATATGGAAAGGCATTTCACGTCAGCTGTTGAACCAGTAACATGCTATTCTGCAGCAGTTGCCAATGGAAACTGTTGATACATTTTCAGCGCCTCTCCCAAGTTTCAGAAGAAACTGGAAGCAGTGTATGGTTTAGAGATGTTTTGTTTGTGTGGGTTTTTGGAGGGTGAGAGAAGAGGTCTTGCACCCCCCGAGCTGCATTACTGCAGTTGTGACACAAAACAGCTAATGGAGTGTGGGAGCTAACAGCTGTGGAATTAAGTTTAGGCATGAAATAAAAATAATGGCAGCTTTGATACAAGTAATAATTTACTAAAGATGTTTTGTGGCTATCAGCAAACTCACAACATATGCACACATCCATACACCTGCTTAAGTCGTGCACCTGTTGTCCTACAAATAAATCAAAAGGGAAAAATGGAAGCTTCCAATGTTCTGCTGTAAATAAAGGATGATTAATACCATTATAGTGACAAACAGGTATTGGCAGCACACAGAAAGAATGGAAGATTGTCGTCTAATTTGTGCTTTTGTTTCAACATCTAGATGAGCTTGGAATACATATACAGTGCTAGAGGGCACAGCTGCAGCCCAGCAGATGAGAAAACGAGAGCAGGTCAAATTCATCTCTCACTGTAAGTCAAAAGTAGCTCAACCAAAGCATGAATTATCACGGAAATGAGCACCATCTGATTTTTCTACAATCTGGAGGATTTTGTCACTTAGACAAATTTATTGCTCAGAATTTCTCGGTCTGAGCTATGACACAGTGGTTTGCTCTGGGTCTGCAGGTCTCGGCGCTTTTGGGAATCTGACTGCAGCTATTCTTCGGAGACCTATAGGTCTGCATGGAAGGTCTCTTTTTGGAATTAGTATGTACATCCTTAAAAAGATCTCTCAGGCTAAGGCCTAAATGCACACATTTGCACTTTGTGGAATCGTTTACACATCTGCAGAAGGTAGCTTTGAATATTGCTGGGGTCTTTGGTCTCTTCAAGTCAACAGGGCACATGGAAATTGCTGTGTAGACAATTTCAAAGTTCCCATTTTCCCACAGACTAATTAAAATTTAGGCAATAGAAGCACAATTTCTTTGAACTTTTCTACTTCAGAGCTGGCTACACTGGCTGTCAAAGTGATTTAAAAATATTTTTTTTAAAAGAGAGGGTTGGATTTTAGAGGGTAAAGCTAAATTGTTTCCCTTACCTCTGTCCTGTCCTTCTCCTCCACCTCCCCACCCCATGCTCTTGGATGCATGGCATTCCCCTCCAGCAAGGCAGCTAACTGCCTGTGGAATTGCCTCTCCTGGATTCAGACTCATAGGTACGCTGAGAATGAGCAAATCACTCAGAGTGCCGTTCCTTGAATTATGAGGTAAGGTATCTACTCAAAGATACAATTTATTTCGGTGTGTTAATGGCATCTGAAGTGTGTTTTGCCCATTCTTGAGTAAATGTAGCATATATTAGGGGCAGAGAGACAGGGAATTCTGTGTTTCATATGGCTGCATTTTCTCTGTGTCTTCACAGTTCCGAGGACCATCTCCCAAAACTCACAGCTGGCATTGTATCAAACCAAACTGCTGCAGCACATTAGAGAGAAATGCACAGTCTTCTATTTAATTTTTTTTCTTTACCTGTCATCTAAAGTGAAACCTTTCAGAGTAGGAGCCCCTCCTCAGTCTTTCTGTATGGAAAAATTATAACATTCCACATCCACATTGTGGTGTTCCACATCCCGCCTGCACTGTGCTAATCTCCTAACGTCAGAGTCTGTACCACTTGTACATCAATGGAGCTGCACAGGAAGAGCAGAATTTGGCACCTTGGTTTAAGAGCTCAGAGAACTGCAGGAGCACAGAGGCTTTACGTTTATTTTTATTATTATGTGTACTTTGCTGGGAGTAGAACAGGAATGCCCACATTTGAGCACAGGCTCTTGTGCAGGGCAAAATCAGATTCTTTCTGCATCTGTGATCTCTGTTGTGTCTTTCATATTCCCAGCCTGATCCAAGGCACACTGGGTCCCTCTCTGCACAGATACATCCCTGCTATAAACAGGCACTTGCACGGAAATCAAGAGGCAACCCAAAGCATATGTGAAAGTGAACTCAGCCCACTTTTAGTGCATAACTTGAGTCTGCTAAACAGGAAAATCTGTTCCCCTTTTGTGTTATTGTTTTTTCCTTGGTTGACAGTGAGAGTCTTTGGACTCTGCAGTATGGAGTGAGGACACATTGTCATTCTTCCTTGATGATTTTTTTCTTCTTCACCACAATCCAAATGACTCACTTTATGTGAGCAAATATTGCCTTAGTTTGAATTAATTTATTTTTGTTGCAATCACCTTTGGATGTTACTATAGTAATATCTCTGGTTTCTCCTGTCAAGGAACTGTCATAGACAATTTCATAAACCTTTTAAGCAGCTACAGTGCTAAGAAAATGATGCGTGTATTTTACTATTATGATTGCCTATAAATAATAAGGATATTTTAAATGCACATAATTGCATCATAAGGAAAGAATACAAAGATGCCAGAATAAAACAGGTTAAACATGAGAAAATATTGAAACTAAGGTTAATATTATCTCCCTTGCTCAACCTTTGCCAAAACTCTACCTCATTCCATTCATGCCTTTTTCTCTGGGCATGAACTGCTCTAGAAATTGTAACTGAAAAAGAAATTCCCCTAGCTTTGTCCTCCATTGTCAGTAACGCACTATCGTTCATCCTCTGTAAGGAAGGACTAGGTTGTATTGCTGGCTGGAATATGCCAAGTCACCTGATAGCAAGACCGCATAATTTAGTCTCTAGGCATGAGAGGATGAAGCATCCTCATTGGAAGGTTCTGAAAGTGGGATTCTTCAAATACTTCAGTTGCTAAGCTTCTAAAAGTCTTCTCCAGACACAGGCATATGGTGATTTTCATTTTATATATGTATACAGTTTGCCACGTTTGAGAAAAATGTCCACTAAAATGGCAAACAAGCATATGCACAGAAAGATCCTGAAAGCAGATACTCAGTTTCAAGCAGCACAGTGTTGGGGCATCTGAATGAAGACTGTATGCTTTTTGCTTTTCCAAACAAAAAACTTTCCTTTATTTCAATCTCAACTTCATCGAAAACCCAAAAAACTGAAATATTTTGATTGAGTTTCTCCCAAATCCTTTGGTGTGGATGGACAACAGGGAAAGAAAAACATTCTGTTTAATGATTTAACAATTAAATATTTAAGCAACTTAACCTGGCAAAGTTCTGAGAACATAAGAGCAGAGTATTGCAATGGGAAGATATTCAGGGGAGAAACTGGGACCTATGTGTCCACTAATATTTACGTACATCTTTCTCCTGTCACTCACAACATTCCACCCTGAACAGTTTGCCTGGCCCTCCCATGTGTGTGGCTTGGTGCATCATCTTACATTGCTTATACAAGTGTGGCTTTTCCTGAAGTTTAAGAGTTAGCTCAAAGCACCTGAGAAGGGGTTGATTTGTGAGCTCTTCTCCATAGAATGACATGTGTGCAGTGGGCAGACGTAGACACAAATAGACAATTCAACATTCTTGCAGTGTCTGGCAGGAATTCCTCTTTCTCCTCATCTCTGCCTACCTTGAGCTTCCTGCTGCCAGTTCTCCTCATTGTAAGAATGGAAGTGCCAATACTCAAGGTGTCAGAGGGTGCAGGAGAAGCTGCTGGCTGCTGCTGTATGAGCAAAAACAGCCAAGTGTCCGAGTTTGTGTTTAAGCAGCAGGATCAGACAAAGAAAAATAAGTGAGCGCAGATTTTCTCTGAGCCTGAGATGAACTGGAGAACCATCCACTCTCCTGGAAGAGTGCAGAGCCTCAATAGGCATAATGAAATCCAGTCCTGCCCCGGGAAAGTGACCTCTTTTTTCGGTGAGGATTTGTCCCCTGAAACAATTTATTGTCTCTTTAAAAGAGGTAGAAAACACAGACCAACTAGGAGAAGGTACAGTATTCCCCATGTTGAGTGAGATTACCATGGCAGAGTCCCACTGCTAGAGTCAGAATTTTCCGCTGCTGTACCATATGCTTCCCTGAGAGACCTGTTATTTAAGTTTCCTTTTTTATCTCCCAGAAAAGGGTGCTGTTAGGTAACAAAAATCTGTCAATTTCTTTATGGCTAGATCAGTGGTAGACCAAAGACAAGAATTATTGCATGGATGGATGTTTTCTTCAAGGTCATGAACAGCCTACACAGATTAATTTTATATTTTAGACTTCTTGTGGTTACCATTTTATCAGTCAGTGTAGCCAGGCTCTTGGTTCAACTGGGAAGAGTGAAGCATTTTAATGATGAAATGGCATTAGGAACTTGACATAGCT